TTTAAAGTGAAAATTTTCCACAGTCTTGATATGATGTCTGTTGTCTACTAGAACTTGGTTGAGTTATGTTAGGAGATCCTGAGAGTTACGTAAACCTACCAAGTCAGTTATCTCCTTCTGCTTCTACTATAGCAGTTGATGCGGGAAGACGCCACCTCATCAAGTGCAGTGAAGGTGGAAATCAAAGCCCTTTATTCTGCTGATACTCTGGTGAGGGAGGTGGTCCTTGTTACTCCTAAGTAAGGGTTCAAAGTCTCTACATACTTTCTGTGTGTGCTGTGTGAAAGATGGTGGGGTGAGCTGGTCACTATTCAGTGGAGATGGAAGGTCCAGCTTTCATGGCTTCTTTGATATCACAGAGGTGGAATTCCTCAATACAGATCAGTGAAGTTCTCTTCTGGCCTTGAGCTGGCAGCAGAGGGTAAGAAAGCCAGGTGTAGACAGAGTTGGGACTTGTAGTTTTCCTGATGGTGTTTGGCTGAAGTAGAAAGGCTATTATCTATGAGTTTTCTTTCTCATTGCAGGGGGAGGGGTGTTTAGCTTTTTCTTTTTTGGACAGGGTTTCTTTAGGTTGTAGCTTTGGTTGTCCTGGAACTCACTGTGTAGACCAGGCTAGTGTTAAATTCTCAGGGATCTGTCTGCATCTACCTCCCAAGTGCTGGGATTAAAAGCCAGTGCCACTATGCCCTGTTTATCTAAGAGTGTTCTAGTTTGCTGTGGCTAGAAAGACCAGGTCTTTGTGGGACTTTGTGTGTGAGTGTCCCCATTTGTGTTTTCATGTTTATGATTTCTTCTGATTCAGATATTGACTATTTTAGATAAAAAGAAAGGAGAAACTCTCTGTGTTAGTTTACTTTAGATGTTGTAACAAAAACACAGACTGGGAGACTCGGAAGTATCTCTAACTTACAGAACCTGGAAATCCAAGATCAAAGTACCAGTAAGGATAGTTTCTCCTGGCAGAGCTTTGCCTCTTGGCTTCCAGGCTGCCAGTTTCTCATTGTGTCTTTAAAGGCCCTTTCTCCGTGTCCCTATCGTTGGTGCCTCTCCTTATATGGACCAGTCCTATTGGTGGGTTACAGGTAGTGCTTATGGCTCCATTTAACCTCAGTTACCATGCTAACGGTTCTTTCTCAAAATTCAGTCATAACAGCAGTTAGAGCTTTAATGTATGATTTGCAGGGAGTGCAAGGCAGTTCAACACACTCAAAGGACCTGCCGCTTCCCTGCATTTTAGGCTGTGAGATTCCTATCTGGCATGCTTTTCTCTTTCCACCTTCCAGAGTCTTATGTTTGCTGTAAATATAATATTTATCTAGGACATCCAGTGGGAGGTGTAGCGGGAAACCTAGTCCGTTTTCCTGGAAGACAAGACTCTCCCTTTTGAAAGATTTAAAGGAGATTTTATAACTCAATTCAAATTGGTTCTAATTCACAAGAGACAGGTTTCATTGATAAAGACATACTTTTGTTGACATCTCAGCCACTGGGAACTGAGATGATAAAGATTACTTCCCCTGAGGCCATAGATTAGGGGAAAATATCAGATGTCTGATGGAAAATTTATCTCCCCAAAGAAGATACAATCCATTGTCCTGGGAAGGAAAGTTGTTACGATAGACATGGCAAAAGATTAGAAGCTCCTTGCTTCTAAAAGTTCCAGGATCTCATCTCTATGGACAGAAATGTGATCTGTACCATTACCTGGTACAGACCAGAAAAGGCAGGAGTCCTATGTTTGTGCACAGGTGTGTGTGTGCATCTTAGAGAGCAGGACCTGAGACTCTCAGCCTTCCAAGGAATGTGAGGTATGTGTTGTGAGTGTGACTGTCAGGAGAAACTCCTTAGTACTCAGCTCCCGCCTCTCACTAGTCATAGAGGCCTCGTGAGGAAGATTGATCCACTACACCAAGGAAGCCCTGGTGTGCTCCTCTGCTATGAGCCTCCGTCACATCCAGTATCGCTATTACACTTGGGCCACAGTCATGGGTGTACCTCACTTCCTGCCTCACACGATGAACTTGTCAGCATTTGACAGCTCAGCACTTGCAGTCAGGGAGTTCATTTGCAAGGCCACCTGGCTTCCCAGCACTGCTGCCCTGCTCCTATTTCATCTTGCCTAATGAGCCAGGGCCTGGTTCCTGGTGCTGAGCTTCTGGGCCAGACATGGCCAGCATTAGATATCAAGGCCTCGGCCCCTCCTCAGGGATCCTTCCAGTCAGTCTGATCTGAAGGAGGCCAAACCACCAACACGGAAAGAACAGCCTTTTTTGTAGCAAGCCTGTGCTGCATAGCCAGGAGTTGTGTCCCAAGTGACTGCTCTCCCATCCAGAGGTTGGATCAGGTTTGCTGCAGCCTCCTGGCTGGACAAGCTTGCTATGGCCTTCCTGGAGCACTGCAGTCTGCCCATCCCACACTGGTTTGGGCTTGTTTCTAAGAAATCCTGGTTTAGGGAGATACAAAGCAAGGCTTTCAGTGTCCACCAAGAGGCCAATGGTATATAGAATTCGAGCTGCCCATGGCCCCTCACCAGTCAACAAACAAGGTCTTACTCTTCCTCTGCTCCTAGGCATCCTTGGCTCTTTTCCAACCACGTAACCTTGGCCCAGATCCTGCAGTGACTCTTGCTTCGAGGTCTTCTCATTCCTGGGTCTGACTTTCTTGATGTTTTACTTCCAACCTGGGTTCGGGGGTTACATGTCTGGAACAAGTCCAGCCTTTGCCAGTTACTGGGCAATTATTATCTAACCTCACATTTAAGGAAGGCCTTGGAAATGGCCTACAGTCATTTATTTTCTTTCTTTACGGGGACGTGATAGTGGTACCAGTCTCCTGTTGTAGTAAGCATGCCTGAATTGACACTGGGCACATAACAGGGGCTCGGTAAAGGCTGGAGAATAGCCTCACATCATTGTACTCATCTGGCCTCATCTAAACCCTACAACCTTGCCCTTAAGCTGGAAGCCAATCGGCTTACCCACAAGCCCCACCCCTGTGGGTGGGTCTGCTTTTCACCCTCCCACCGGGTTATTATGTCCTTATTATGTGTCTCCTTCCCTCCTCCCCCCCCGACTGTCTGGATCTGACACACGACTGGCCAAGCATACCTTCCCCATGCTCTGAAGACACTGTCTCTACTGGGAGTCTAAAGGAACCCTCAGCACGGTGCACTACTTGAGGCATAGCACCATGGCCATCTTCAGGGATTCATGCCCGAGAAAAGAGGGGCAGGGTGTGGAGAACCCTAAAGTAAAAGGGAATGTCCACCCTGTTTCCAGCCTGCCCTTACTCCTACCTCTCCACTAGAGTTAGGTCCAATGGACCATAGACTCTGGTCCTTAGTGGAGCCTTGACCATTCCTGTAAGGCTGCTGGGCTGCTGCAGGCCCATCTCCTCCAAGGACACAGACCTCACTCTCAGCTGGGCCAGACTCATAAAAGTGCCCTGAAATCTGTTACTAACTCTGAATACTTTTCTTTGCCCACATTAAATGGAGGTCTCGCCTTCAGTGAATCCACAGACATGAAAAAGTACCCCAACCAGAGCCCCCTCAGAAGCTGCACAGCAGCCAGAACCTCAAGGACCCAGGACGACAACAGGGTCACACACTGTGAACAGGACACAGTAGGCACAGGAAAGGGTGGCATAGCTCTGGGCACAGGAGCTGCACAGTGTGGAGGAAAATGGGAAGAGTGGCAAAGAGTACTTGCTGCTTCTCTATAGGGTGGCCTCCTGGAAGTACAGGGAAGGATCTGACCCAGCATACCCTCCCCATGCTCTGTAGGCACTGGCTAGCCTGGGAGCCCAAAGCTCACTCCCACCCCATCCCACCCCACCCTCACATAGCACACAGTGCAATGCTAAGCACCATGGTCATCATCAGGCCAGAGAGACAAGGGGCATGGTGGTGAGAACAGGCGCTTGGCTTTCTTGTACATGCAAAGCCGAATACAAGGTCCTCTGAGTAAAAGGAGCAGGGTCGCTGGAGGTGCAGGAAGCAACCACTGCCACGGTGTATACAGTGGTGCCTAGTACCACACCCCACAGCTTCCGGGCACACAGCACTCTCACCTCCGCCCAGAGCCTAGGGGAAACCGTCTCCATCCTGTCAGGGCATCCAGCATCAAGCTCAGAGTCTCCAGGCCAGGCTCAGCCCTCCCCTCTGGGTCTTAAAGAGCTCCTTAAGTTTTAGATCAAAGCTGTGAAGTTTTGGCTCGTGATGGACTTAAAATTTTGATGAACTTTAAAGCTGAAGATGGTCGGGTGGTGGAGGAGGTACGGGGGAGGAAAGTCACCTGCGTGGAAGAAGGAAAAACAGCAGTGGCAGCAGTCAGCGGTCAGTGCCGCCTGCCAGGGGGGCCTGTCAGTCTCTTGGGAAGTACAGAGGCTTTATGTAAGAGTAAGCTGTAGGCCAGGCGGGGCTCCCAGATGACACACGTCCTGCACATGTAGTGGCTTCTGGTTGGTTTTTCCTGTTAAGTGAGTCTGTGTGCCTGAAGCAGTCCCAGCCCGTTCACTAAGTTACAGCATCAGGCTGTAGCCTTGCCCTTCCCCCCTGCAACTCAGACCCTGAGCCAACAAACCCACATGGGGGAACAGAGGGCAAGCAATACCCTTTCCTTCATATTTTCATGCGAAATTGCCCAATTCAAAAATTCCAGGAACAGATTTAAGTGCTCGGAAAAAGCCAGAATCCATGATCAACAGATTATCATTATCTGTGCCACAGTGAGGATGCTGCTAGGCAGGGGAGGAGGAGCCTAGACAGGACTGAGGACCGAAGCATCCCCCTTTATCTGGGCTGGAGGAACCAGCAGCCACACACTGGGTGAAGCTCTGGGCACTGCTGGGGGCCACCAGCCTTGCAGAGACCATGGGGTAGAGCAGAGGCTCAGGACAGAGCGTTTGAGTGTATGGCCTGTTGAGGCAGGCAGGCTGCCTGCAGCATGTGGGACTCCACAGGAGCCCCGGGCCTCAGGCCACACTCACCTGTTCTGCAGACTCCACCAACCGGGACTCGTTGGACATGATTGAGCGCAGCATCTGCCTGGTGTGCCTGGATGGCCCAGGTGCCGGGCAGCTCAGCGACACCCACAGGGCACTCCAGCTCCTTCATGGTGGAGGCTGCAGCTCGAACGGAGCCAATCGCTGGTACGACAAGTCCCTGCAGGTAAGTGCTCTGTTCGTGGCCCCGCAACTGTGTAGCCTCTTCTGGAGCTCTGCCTGAAAGCACATGTTTTTGCTGTCTGCTGTCACCCAGGTGATGTCACCTCTAAACTAGCCAGAGTTCTCAGAAGCCAAGTGGTAGAACTCAACTGAAACCCCCGGACTGTTACCGGGTTGGAAGAGCTTGGTCACACCTGGGCTCACTCCCCACCTCCATCACACTCTGGAGAGGGTTGGGTGTGACCAGAGATGCTGGCTTTTCCAAATGTCTGCCACCTGGCCTGACCATTTCAACACACACTGGGAAGCAGGGCAGCCCAGCATCCCCTAAATACCTCCTAAAGTACAAAAAAATAATCCATAGCTTTCACTCACATGCATCAGGATAACATCTTACGCTGACTGAGAGGGGGAAAAAAGCCAATGCAAATTGGTTGTGCTCTAAGTTGTCCATTCATTTCAGATCTCTACCCCACCGTATACCCCGTAACATGCCAATATCTAATACAATTTTCTTTATTTATAGTGCCACCACACTCCCACAGTGACCATATAAAAACAAGTTAACCATCTCTCTGGGTTGGGACAGCCCATCTCCATAAGCATTTCCCAGCAGCATCTCATTTTCTCTGAGAGGAGAAACCCATCCCTGCGTCTGGCTGGCAGGTTATCTTCTTTATTGGTTTACACAGTGATTTTGTTGTTTCTGATGAGTTGTGCTGCTGCTGTGCTGGCTGTTCAGCCTCCACGGTGGTGCTAATGACTTGGGATCTTTCACAGAGCAGTGGTAGGAATGACATAATGGATGTATAGGACACAGACCATAGTAAGCATTGGGTACAGTCTTTCAAAGACCTATTTTCCTCCCTTTCTTTAAGTGACAGGGGTAGAAAGGTGCTCAAAGAGAGTGTACACAGGTTCCCTATTTTGTAGATAGGACAGAAAGTAAGTGAGCTGGGGTTGCTACTGAGACATCATGGACCTGAAATTTGAGGGGATGCATCTCCACATGGAGAAAGATTGTTGGCCAAGGGAGAGAGTCAGAGGAAGATGCATACTTGAAGCTGCTGTGGGTGTGTGATCGTTGGCGTGATGACTGAGATAGTGAGACTCCAGCATCTGGCACAGATAACCGAGCCTGGGGGAAGGCATGGAAAGGCTGTGTGTACCGTGGTCCCAGGAGATGCTTTCAGTAGGCACCGTAAGAGTTCATTCTTTCGCTGGCTGGTTTGCTCATTTACCGAGGGGCAGACAGGGTGAGGAAGTCCAGGGCAGCCCCGCTTCGCTTGGAGTACACCAAGCCAAACTTCATCTTCCCCACTATTTTCTCTCAATACTTTTGCGCCCCGAGAATATTTCTTTCCCAGGTCAGCTCAATATAGTCTTTGTGAAACTATGTATGAGTGTCTAAGGAATCTTCTAGCGTTTCTGTGGATCCTTCAGAGACTTTCTAGTTTTCATCTCAACCCTGTGAGCTGCTTTACTGGGCTGGTTTAAACGAGTCCTCAGGTCCAGAGGCTGCTTCCTCAGCCACCAGACAGGGCACAGTCTGTGATTTGGAGTCCGCTCCTGTCAAACAGAACATCCTCCCCACACTTTTTCCGCCAAGAAACCTGATATTTCTCCTTACAAATCTTCTTAACAGCAAATCACATTGTTATTTTTTTTTTCACTCATTTATACAACACAATTACCCGGCAGCTGCTCTGAAATGGGCACTGGTCTAGATCCTGGGAATAAAATTAATGGAGGCCAACTAAAGCAGAGTCAAACCATTAGCCATTACTGAAAACACTGGAGAATGGTGTCCGCTGTGCAATTAGGGACGGACAGGACCGAGCACCCACTCTGCCCCGTAGACCAGGCATCCGAAACTAGAGCACTAAGAACCCTGGACTGCTGCAGTGGGGGAGGGGGGCTGCCCCTTCGCTGCCTGGAGCCCTGTGGGAAGAGCTTCCTTGAGACTTCCACACTCTTGGGTGCCTGCAGCCACCTGCGGAATCCTTTTTAGGAATCAACAATCCTTGGTATCGTTGGATACCAAGAAGTCAGAGGGTCCAATCCCAGGGCCTAGTTTGAAATGCTGACTCCAGGGTCAGCTCACCTGCCTGCTCTCAACTCTTTCCCTGTTGCAGTTTGTGGTAGGCCAAGATGGCACCTGCGGCGTGGTGTGTGAGCACTCTCCATTTGACGGCATCGTCCTGGTACAGTGCACGGAGCACCTGCTGAAACATATGTGAGTCTGGGGCAGAGCAGAGGAAGACCTCAGAGGGCTGCTGTGGAAAGCCAGGAGAAACTGGGGTATCAGTCCAGAAAATGGCTGAGCCCAAGATGAATTTGGAAAAAAGCTCGAAGACTGCAAAATGAGCTTTATGAGTCACAGATGGGAGGGGTAGATTGGGCAGGAAACTCAGGGAAGACAAGGAGAAGCAAGAGATCCAAGCCTTGATCCAGCAGAGCTCAGATCAATCTTTGTTTGTTGGTCCTGAGACAGTGCCAGGTACCTGGTAGCCCAGCACATAGGGAGGTCCCCTTCATCACAGGATAGGTCCCCAACCTTCATGCTGCTAGGGTGGAGCCTTGCTTTTCTGTCCCTTAACCACACTGGGTTCCTTCTAGCGTTGGTATTTATCTTCTAGCATCTTCTTGCACATAGGTTCTTAGTCTCTTCCGCAGAAGGCTTTGGAGTGACGGGGACACAAGCCAGTCTTTGAAGACAGAGCAGCTAAGCTTGCTGCTACATTGCCAAGTCTTTCATAAGTACAGCCCAGACATGATTTAATGCTAGGACAAATGAAAGCAAATGATGCCCCTTGGTGTCAGGTGGAAGTGGATGGGATCCTGGCTCTGTCATTTACTAAGTTTGGTTTATCAGCTCAGGCTCCCGCAGCTCAGGGGCTGTGCACACCAGCAGCTAAGATGATTGCACAGAAAAGCAATGCTGCCCAAGCCCTCGGTTGCAGGGTCTCAGGAGACTGCCCTTTGTGTTTGTAGGATGAAGAAGAACAAGAAGCTGGTCCGAGCTGACTCCGTGAGTGAGCTCCCTGCTCCCAGAAGGCTGAGGTGGAAATGTTCCCCAGAAACTCAAGGCCACCTCGCCTCCTCAGCAGAGAAGCTTCAAAGGTGAGGGAACTCCAAATTTCCTTCAAGGTCCTATTCTGCCCTCCTCCAATAGCTGTTGAAGCATCCTAAGGGCTCTGGGACTCTGCTCCCCTCCATGCTCCTCCCATTCTCATCCCTCATGGAAAAGTAGTCAAACTAAAGAGGAGTTATGGCTCCCAGGAAATAACCTTGCTCAAATATCCACCATTTTCATAAAATGCAAACGCGAAGCTATTTTTTTCTGCAGGTTTCACCTGACTAAGCAGAGTCAAGGCTGGGAAATGATTCTCTGCTTTGAGGGAATAATAAACAACTGCTTTGAATAGGTCATTTGAATCCAAGCTATTTCAATTTGCTTGAGTTTACACTGCAACTTGACAAGGGGCCCTTTTCTCGGGGGAGGAGTTGGCTCTTACCATAGTGGACACAGAAAGAAGGGCTGGGTGTGAGCTGCCTTTGTCAGTCTCTGTGTCAGAACCCTCATTCACTCATCAGACTTGTGGAGCTCTGTCTAGTGCGTGCCAGGTCTGTGGTGAAGCACTAGGAACCCCAGGAATGAATGTGCCCCGGACTCACGCTCCACACTTTAGTAAAGAGGCAGACCCCAGATCAAATCATGTATGACCCATGGCGTGCCCAAAAAAGAGAGACTCCAACCTGCAGATAGATACGGGGTTGGACTCTACCCAGACAATGAAGGAGGGCTTCAAAGGGCAAGAAGCAGCTTGAGGGGCTAGTAGACAGGGAAGAGGCAACTCTGTGGCTTTAAGCCTCTGTAGGTTCATACAGGTCCAGGCTGGTATGGAGACAACAGATGAAAGATGGCTGGACCTGGACCATAGGAGAGAAGAAGCTGAGCCATGCTGTGAGGAGCTTGCCTTGCCTGTGAGGGGCTCCTCCTGGGTGGGAGCTGTTGGGGAGCCAGTGAGGAGTCCACGGGAGTAGCGCTGGTGGATAGTACACAGGCTGAGAAACCTAGCATTAGGAGACCCTTCTTGCTTGAAGCTGCTGTTGAGGCTGCCTGGCTTTAGGGAATGAGGAAGAGGTCTCCCGGTTTCCACGGAATGATGTTGACATCTCAGCTCTTAGGATGGGGGTCCAAGGTGAGTGGGCCACCGGAAGAGGAGGCGGAGGAAATAGATGAATGGTTAACAAGGATTTGCTTCTTCTCAGGGACCTGTGTGCGCCTCTGTCCCCCAACGTCTCCCTAATGGGGCATGAGGAGTCACCTGGACCTAAACAGTCCATGGGGGGGAGGCTAGTTTGGGAGGGAAGTTTTCATGGTGAAAGAGATATCTGCCCAAAGGAATCTGTCAAAAGGTAGGGGTCTCTCCTGTTGCAAGCTGCTGCGTGACCCCTGGGAGCTCAGCTCATGTTGAGGCAGAAGGGCGAGTTAAGGTGGGGGAGGGGCAGCAGATGTAGCATGGAGTCCCAGCGACAGTGTGAGGGGGCAGGTCACTCCTCTTGGACCTGTGTTCACAGCCAGTGGCACGCACCTCATGGCAATGTCGCCCCCCACCCCCATGGACAGTCAGACTAGACCCCAAACCTTGTAAGGGAGAACTCTACTGGTCACATGGTGCTGGCACGGGCATTTCTGCATAGACACAGGGAAGTTTCCTGGCACTCTGCTAATGAAAGGCATGTTCTGGGAGACCCACTGGCAGTCACTGGATGAGACTGGGGCGGGGGGGGGGGGGGTAAAGCAGAAGGGGAGAAAAGCCCCCATCCTCAGGGGGGCTACCACGATTCTAAGTCTGCTCAGATTCTAAGTCTTGCTGCACCACAGCACAGTAGTGATGAATCTCGGTGACGGCGGCTGAGCAATTAACTGTTGGAACAGCTGAAGGTCCACGGGGACACTGAGCCACTGTTCCTTCACAGGTCATAGAAATGGTCTGCTTCAGGCCTGCTTTGTAGGCAGCCCATGCAAACGTCTCATTTCCGTGCTCCTCCCGCCTTGCTGCTGCAGCCAGCCCCACCTCTCCCTAGAAGGGTCCCCCTTGAGCCCCAGTTCCCGTGTGCCTTCTGCCTCTTGCATAGGTGAGGCTATATCTCTGACACCATAGGGTATTTCCAGAGGACAAGGACTGTGTACTCACCTTCTGGGCCACTAGGACGTGGACCAGGATCAGGAAACTTGGGGGGACTCTGTGGTGTAGGTGCCTTATCTTGCATGTAGAGTAATCTTTCTTGTCCACAGAATAGTAAAGAACCTGGATTTCATTGTGTATAAGTTTGACAACTATGGAAAAGCATTTATTAAGAAGCAGAACTGCAGCCCCGATGCCTTCATCCAGGTGGCCCTCCAGCTGGCCTTCTACAGGTGAGTGAAGGGGTCGTGGCTCTCCGTAGTCCAGTCTTCCTCAAGAGTGGACTTGCACACATGCAAATCAGACTCTAACACCTACTGCCTGGCATGCCTGGGCCCTCTCTTGTGCTTTGGGACCCTCCAGTAAGCTTCTTGGTCTCCAGATCTTTGCCTTAGCTGAGAATCTGCCCTCTCACCTGTTACTTCCAACTGAAGTGTCACCTTCCCGAGGTCTGCCTGGAGATACTCTCTTACCAGAAGCTACCACCACGGGCTCTGTTGTCACCCAGTTCTCTGTAACATCGAATTCACCATCGAAAGTGTCCCTCCAACCTGTCATGTGACACTGGACTCTCATTGATCTCAACTCTGTTTTCGCTTCTCCCCTACTCAACTCCTCGGTTGTTACTGGCTGGTGGGAAGCGGGTTTTCTGCCATCCAGGAATGCAGGTGGAGGCTTGTTCACCTGGTTTGCATGCATAGGGTGGAAGGCTTTCTAGGCAGCAGCATGAGCTCTGATAGAGGGCCAGGGGACTAAAACAGTGTGTGGGGAGGCCAGATACCATTTTCCCCATGAGCTATACCTTGATGCCCTGGTGGGCCTGCGCATCTGTCCATACTAACCATACTCGTATGCCTTGACCAGAGCTCATGGCTGGACCATTTAAAATAAAACAGACTTCCCTGGAAGGTGTACATGGTAAACTACACATTATTCTCTGTTAATAACACTCGTTAGGCCTCACAGAAAATTCCACAGATTGGTGGTGGTGTTTTTGTTGTTGTTGTTTTAACCAGTCACCTCTTTATTTTATGTCAACACAGTGTCCCCAGTGTATAAACCTGTACATGGTTCTTCACATCAAAGGCTTCCTAGCATTCATCTTTGGAATTCTCCTCTAGAATTCTATTAACATTAAAATGAAATACTATGCCACGTCATGTCACAGCTATGAAAATAAAGCCTGCCGGAGCTATTTTTCTTTCAGTATTTATGACTCCCTGAGAACAAATTGCTGTTTGCCATCTATCTTTTATCTTGTTCAGGCTTTATCATAGACTGGTGCCCACCTACGAGAGTGCATCCATTCGCCGGTTCCAGGAAGGTCGGGTGGATAACATCAGATCAGCCACTCCAGAGGCGCTGGCTTTTGTGCAAGCCATGACTGACCACAAGGCTTCCATGCTGGTAAGCGTGCGCGCACACACACACACACACACACACACACACACACCATTCCCCACTCTGCCTTAAGGAGCCACAGGGAGGCTGCTGTCGTTGCCTGTGCTAACCCTCTGCTTTGTTCACAGGCCCCCGAGAAGCTACAGCTGCTCCAGATGGCCATCCGGGCCCAGACTGAGTACACGGTCATGGTGAGTGGCTGTGCTTCTGCAGCACTGACTTCTTGGTGCCCCAGCGAGGCTACCACCCCTCATTTGTATTCACTTTTATTTAATCTATTTTTTGCAGCACTGGGGATTGATTACAGGATCTTACACAGGCTAGACAGGTGCTGTAGCACCAAGCTATGTCCCAGGTTCTCTTTTTCTACTTTTCATTTTGAGACAGAGTCTCATTAAGTTGCCCAGGCTGGCCTTGAATGACTCCGTAGCCCAGGTTGATCTCTAATAGGGGGCCCTCTTACCCCGGGATCTCAAATGGCTGGGACTGAGGATAGGCTTGTTCCACTGGGCAGGGTCTTTTTCTTATTTCTACAACACAGGCGGCACACCCTTCCTGCTTTCTCCAGGTCCCACTACATGACAGTGAGCGGTGTTTGAAATCTGCTGACATAACCATAATGATAATAATAGCTCACAATATGTGTGGTGCTTTACAGTAGATATAAGGAACCATCAAATTGGGGGTGGGGGCAGCCTGATGAATATTGGTAGCTGGGTCTCTGGCACACTAGAAGGGAGTCAGAATTTATTATCACCTAGGGCTGATTTCCGTGTGTTCATTTTTGCTGCCTGTGAATTGAAACTCTTTGCTGAAAATTAATAGTGAAATCAAAATTGTATAGGGACTATTTCTCTAGTTTGAGGGAATAATTTATTTTTTAATATTTCAAAGCTATTATTTGCATGCAAACAAGGGAGAACTTGAGCTAGTGATCAATATGTTAATTGCAGATGACTCAAAAACAACCAGAAGGCTGACAAAAATCTATGAGAAGGATTGATCAAATTTTTCTCTATGTACCAGAAAGCAAATATAATGTATATCTGGGTTTTAGAGCTCATCACTTAGACTTTCCCCTAACTCAGTCCCTAATTCATCTCAATAGCTATGTTTGCTCTGTTTAAGCACTGTGTTAGCCAGTCATGATAGCTCAGGCCCGTACTCCAAGCACTCAGGTGCCAGAGGCAGGAGGATCACCACAAATTCAGGGTGAGCATGGGATATGAGTGAGCCTATCTCAAAAAGCACTTAGTCAACTTTTCCATCACTCTAGCAAGTAATGGAGACAATCAACCAATCGGCACAGGAAAGGAAAAGCTTATTTTGGCTGACAGTTTCAGAGGCTTCAGTCCATGGTTGGTGGCTTCCACGGCTTTTAGGCCTATGGAAAGGCAGCACATTCTGGTAGGGAGAGCCCATGATGAAACAAACTGTTCCCTTTGTTACAAAGAAGTAAAACGGAAAGAAGAAAGGGGAGCTGAGATCCCACAATCCCTCTCAAGGACACACCCACAATTATAGGGAGACCTTCCATCTGGCTCCACCTCTTAAAATTTCCACAACCTTCCAATGGTACGAGCCTTTAATGCATGAGCCTTTAAGAGACATTTCAGATCCAAACTCCAGCAAGTGCTCTCACTATATTCAATGATTTTTTTCCCTGCTTCATGCTAGTTAAAGTGTTATATACAAGAAACAGAAATTGACACCCCTAAGTGCTGTCAGTAAGGAGTTTAACGTGGAGTTGGAGTGAAGGTGCTTCAAAGTTACGTCAAACTCACATGAAGAGAATCCTGGGAAGCTATAGAGAAGGTGGAGGAGAAAGCTTCTTCCTCTGCTTTGAAAAGTTGAGAGGGATTCCCAGAGGAAGCAGTCCTTCATGTGAAGTGTAAAGGATTAGGAAAGGGGAGGAAGGCCAAGGAGAGAGCAGCATGTTGTAAAGGCGAGAGTCTTGTGAATGTGATACATCTGACGAGAAGAGCAGCTCGGTGTGTGCAGCTTGCAAAGGGCTGGGGAGCAGAAGAGCTGGATTGTCTGCTACTCCAGGGTGGGGCAAAAGAAGGACAAGTTGCTTTAGGGAAGTGGTTTGCCAAGCAGGAGCCATATAATACAGGAGGAAAATGTGGCTGGGCAGGGCCAACGGGATGAAGAGGAACTTCTGATTCAACATTGTGTGTTGAACCTAAGAGTTCCTCAGCTCTGAAATTCTCTAGAACAACAGTCAGAGGTATGTTAAGCCATACACATATGAAAGAGAATTAGAGAGAAGGCGACAGCAAAGCATTAAAGCCGAAAAGTAGAACAGATGGCAGTTGGCTTAGGGCACAGACAAAGAAGCTGGAAAAATTAGTGAACTAAATTGCAGCACCTCGGGGTAGCTCCATCACCGGGGACGCACCAAAAGTGGGGTGTGTGAAAAGAAGAGGGTCGGCTGATGGTTTTGTCTGTTTAGCCTGCACAACAGAATCCTTTGTACTGTGTAATTTATAAAGAACAAAGATTTCTCACACTTCCTGAATCTGGGAGTACAAGATCAAAGGGTCAGCAAGTGAGGTTGTTGGCCTCTGCTTCCACGATGGCGCCTGCTGCTGCATCCTCCAGAGTGGAAGAATGTGTGGTGCTCATGTGGCCAGGGTAGAAGGCGGGAAGGTGGAAAGCTGTGTAAAGTCTCTCGTGTAGGGGTCTTAACAAGGAAGGAGCCCCAGTGAACTAGTCACTTATTAAAAGCCTCTTAATATATTTCATTGACTATTAAATTTTGAGATTTGAATTTTTAAATTTTCTTGTTCTATAAATAAGAACAGGAAACTAAAAATATTATCAAAAAATAAAGATAGCTCTAGAATAGAATGTAGTAGAACATGTCAGTGGAAGTATTGGGAGACATTATGAGGTAACCTACTTTAACACCAACAAAACAAATGTAAGAAAGATGGGCTGTCAGTATAAGGTGATACTTGGTTGAGGCAAGCACTATCCCAAATTACAGTTGTTCAGAAAAAGAAACTGAATGGTATAGAAATCACCAACAAAATAATTCAAGAAAAATATCAAAGGTTGAGGATAGTTCAGTGGTAGAGAACTATCAGGCATAAAGCCCTAGTTACTATCACCAGCATGAAAAAAACAAAAACAAGCAGAAAAGCAAGCAAACAAACAAAATTCAGAACCACAGAAAATGCTTCTATATTAAGGGAATTCACCAAATATCTTTCATACCAAGGAAATTTTATGACCCTATAGACAAAGAGAAATTCTAAGTTTCTCAGAGGAAAAAGAAAAAAAAAGGGTCATAAATAAAGATACAATTGGTCTTTCAGCAGCAGCAGCAGCAGCAGAAAGTAGATAATAGTGGAGCAATGCCTTCAGATTCTAAGGGAAAATGATCTTTAACACACCTTTCATACCTAGCTAAACTATCATCAGATTTGTGGCTGAATAAAGACATTTAGACGGAAGAATTTTATATTTTTTACTTAGTAAATCATCTTTCTTATAAAACTTCTAAGGACTGCATGTCTCAAAATGAGAAAATAAAACATGAAAGCTAAAACATAAAAAATAAAAAACCCAAAAAACAAAACAATAATTAAAAAAAACCCAGAAATTCAACACACACACACACACACACACACACACACACACACACACACAAAAATGAAGCAGAAAGACTCCCCAGGATGACACAAAACAGAAACTATAAGTCAACAGCTCTTCAGTAGCTCTTGAGACCAATTAGTGCATACATAAAGGAGGAATAAGTAAGAGGAGAAATGAAATCTATGTCTGGGAACATAGCTGAGTTGGTACAGCATTTGCCTAGCATGTGATAGGTCCTGGGTTCAGTCTTCAGTAGGAAAGAAAGAGAGAAAAGATGGGTGGGAGAAAGGGATGGAAGGAGGGAGGGAGAGAAATCTAATCATAATATGCTGGAAGACCCAGTTGGGTGTCATTAGATGATAATGACATCATCTAAGCACTATGTGTTGCTCAGACAACGAAGAGTTGAAATATGACTCTGCTGGGAAGACTGAAAAGTGGAAGTAGGTAGAGGAAGTAGAAGCTAATGTTTTATTTCTTACAACATGAACTTTATAAGGAAGTCCGGGAAATGCAGTCATGACACTCTTAAGTATGGATTCAGAGCAGTGAACATAATATCAGAAGGAGTAGCTAAAAGGCCTTTTCCCTATAGAGTGGGAATCAGTGCTGGCAACATGACATAAGCCAACAGCTTCTTTGGATTTTAAACTCTAAACATAGGAATACTTGTCTCTGTACTTTGGTAATAAATTTCAATTCATAAATTTTCTTTTTAGAGAACCATTGTCAAAAGTATCACCATGGGATCCTTTGTGTTATTCATGTTAACTTGACAAAAGGAATTGAATCAGTAGTGGGCAGTAGAGAGAGGAGAGACAGGAAGGCAGCTGGTAAGTGAGACTAGTTAGCCATGAGAACAGGGGAAAGAGACAGGAAACAAGACAGCCTCCCATAGCACAAGGATGTATTTGGTAGAAATTGTAAGGAGAAGAAACCCCAGTGGGCAGGCACGGTGTTCCTGGCCCCTCTCACTATTCTCTTGTCTCTTGACACTCCTCTCTCCCTCGCAGCCTTCACTTCAGTTTATAGTTACATGAAGTGCACATGGTAGTGGCTCCCTACCCTACTACGCCCTGAACACAGGCCTCTTTGCTCCTCTGCCTTCCAGCAGCAGCAGCAGGCATACGGTAAATGCTCCATGTCCTAGATGGGGGACTGAGGCAGGAGTCCTTGTATTCATTGTTGCTCACCACTCCAAACAATGGTCCCTTTAAATCTTCTGGATACATTTGCTTGATAAGAGCAGGGTGGGCAGGTTGCCACGTGTAACGTCTCCCTCTGTGGACCTTCACAAATAAAAGGAGAAGCAGAGGTCACCAGAGAAATGAAGCATGTCCACTATTGGGAAAGGCTCCCGGTACTTCCTCTCTGTCCTGGTAGGACACATAAAAACCAAGCTATGGGCTGCAGCTGCATGGTAAAGCAATCCGTTAGCCTGTGTGAGGCCCTTGGACCCATCCCCAGCACCACCTTGTGTAAATAAATGAAGTAAGAATAAAATAAGCTCAGGTCATATAACTTTTCTTCTCAGACTAGAATTAGATGCCTCTGCATCATCCTTATGCTTTGTTCTCTGCTGAAGGAGAACAGCTGTCAGATGCTGATACATGCCTTGCATGTATCAAACCCAAGCAAAGTTCGCTGGGAAAGGAGGCTTTCCCTCCCCGAGGGGCTGTAACAGCTAGACGGCAACCATACATAACAGACACTGCAAAAGTTTCAATTACTCTGGTGGAACCAGGTTATTGCTACAGGCAACGAGCCGTCCCTCAAGTCTCCCTGCTTCCCCAATCGCCCCGTGTAAACACAAATCACAAACAAAAAGAGAACGGGGATGGTATCTCCCAGCCTCAAGCGGGGGAGGCTCAGAACAGTGCCCTGCCCCTCCCTCCAGTCCCAGGGTCCTCTCCACATGACATCCAGGTGTCCTTCTTCCGCCCCATCCGCTGAGAAGAGTTTAACTGTCTCTATGATTTAAGAGAAAGAGAGAGAGAGGGAACAAAACCCCACATCATTCAACTAGAGTTTCCACCTTTAAAACATCAGCGGAGCCTCAGCTTAGCTGTCTAGTTCCTAACTCAGTTTCTGAGCTTATGAATCAAGGTGAAGTGAGTCCACACTTTGCCCCTTGTGTGCCGCACCTTGTTCCTGCTTTGTGCGGGAGGGTGAAGAATTAGTTATGGTGTGATTCTAACCCTCGCAGTTTTGACAACCCTCCTCCATGCCCAGATCCTACACATGAGCCAACCTTCTTTCTTTCTTTCCCTGGACACAGCAGGTTGATGCTGGGACAGGCAGGCCCACCCGCTCTTCTGTTAGAGTAGCATGCAGTGGTGGCTGCTGGGCTTGCTGATCTTTAATCCAGACATTCTTACGGTAGATCCCAGCCTTCTCAAGACACATCCTGTGTGCCTACAGTATGCTAGAGTCCAGGAGCAGAGGCTGCACCGGAAAGCGGCCGGCCCCCAGCAGATGCTCGCACGGCTTGTCTGTGGAGGGGGGGTTAAGCAAGGGCTGTGAGGATTGGTCTTGAGGAGGAAACAGGAGGGGGAGCGGAGGTACAGAGGCGTGCAGGTGTCATTTCCTGCTGTGTTCTTGACTCCCAGGCCATCACCGGCATGGCCATCGACAACCATCTGTTGGCACTGAGGGAGCTGGCCCAGGACCTGTGCAAGGAGCCACCTGAGATGTTCACAGATGAAACATACCTGATGAGCAACCGGTTTGTCCTCTCCACTAGCCAGGTACAGTCTCTGCATGTGTGGCCAGGGCCCAGGAAGCCCCTGAAGACAGTAGTGACTTGGAACCTGGCTTTGTCTCTGCTTCCTTTTTCAACATTTAACACACACACACACACACACACACACACACTCTAATGCATATGTTCAATATGTGTTAAATTATGCTAAATAATTATACATATAGGTACAACGTATGCTAAAATATCGGCATGTAATGGGTAGCAGTCAGATTAGTGTAACTGGCATATCTATCAACTTAATAACTTAGAGAACATTCAAAATCCTTTTTACTAGCCACTTTGAAATATTTAAGTTATTGCTGTCAACGATAGCCTTCCTCCTGTGTCATAAAATATTGAAGTCAACTATATTTTCTCCACTCTCAACCCCACCATCTGGCTCTTCTTTTTTTTTTTTTTTGTTTTTGTTTTAACAAGTCTTATCTTTCCTTATGTGTGTGTGTATGTATGTATTTCCTTATGTGTGTGTGTATGTGCCTATGTGAGTATATGGTATGTGTCTGCTGGTGCCCTCAGAGGCCACAAGAATGTATTGGAACATCTGGAACTGGAGTTACAGGCAGTTGTGTGCTAGCTGCCTGATCTGGGTACTAGGAATTGAACTCAGGTCCTCTGGAAAAGCAGCAAGCTCTTTTAACCACAAAGTCATCTCTCCAGGCCCAGGCTTTGCCTCTTGAGTTTTGTCACCTTCAGTGGAATGATCTAAATGTTCAGGGCATTAATATTTTCCCATCTTCCAAAGAAGAAAAACCAGAGGCTCCCTGAGCCAAAGCTGACAGGCTGGGCATACACGCACCGGGGGGTTCTAACTATCACGCAGCACTGCCTTGCCATCTGCTGCATGTGAGGGTGTATTCCACTGCAGAGGACCCTGGGATCTGAAGCCTGACAGGCTTGCCTGGGGATCCCTCAATTAGGTCATGGGGATTGTGATAATGGCCCGGCCCCGATGCCAGAAAATCAATTGTCAGCCCAACATTTCCTACCTGGTGCTGTACATATGCCCATTTATTAAAGGGCCACAGCCACAAATGCAGGATAACTTTCGCTAGTGGGAAGATGCCGGGGAGGGGAGGAAACACGTAGCCGCACCAGCCTCCTGGAAGTTACCTCATCTGCACACTGCTGGATGAGGGCAGCGAAGGGGGCTAACAAAGCTGTGTCTGAGGATAGACACCCACTCAGTAATTTAATTTTGTCATTACAGCAGTGGGCTTGCAGACATGAATAAATGAGACCAGAATACTACAACATAAATTCTTCAGGAAACCATCCATGGGCGTAGAGTGCTCTGGAATGGCTTCATGGCCTCCAGCCATTGCACGGCAAATTTATCTGACAATGCAGTGACTCTATTAGCAAGACTAATGGCTTGTTCTGCCCCATTAAAATGGCCAGTGCCATTTCAGAAGGCACAAGAATACAGCACCAGAAACCTGTGGATTTAAAACAGACCCTGTCTCATACTTCACTGGCCCCACAATCCTTTCTCCTTGTCCCTAAAACCTGCTAATAAAGTGAATTTGGGCTGTGAGTTGTTCCATGGTTTCTTTCCCACTGAAAAGTTATATTTGTGGCTTGAATGCTTTAAGAGACACACTTTCTTGGTTTGTGAACTGGATTGCAAAGCCTAGCCCCCTGAATCCAAAACATCTTAGATGATTAACTAAAATTCCAGGTGACAGCAGGCTTGGAAGTGCCCGGTGCTGAGTAATTGTGCTTGGGTGGGCCTTGGGGAGGAAATCAGACCATCCAGGCGGTACTGACAGTAATTAAGGATCCGGGGGAAATCAACAGAGAAGATGGGCCAGATTTCCTCCAGTTCATAAATTACTCCCTGTGGGAAGCCATCTAATGGTTGGGTGCCACCAGGGTGCCATTTAGTAAATTAGCCTGATTGCCACAGTGCCTCAAATGGCCCCTAGATGAAGGAAAGCCTTGGCTCAGGCCGGAGCAGCAAGCTGCCCAGGGAGCCTTCGGCTCCACAAGCAGAGCCAAGTACACACTGGGGGGGTAGATTGGGGGTCGCTCTCCCCCAACACCTTGCTCCTTGATGGACTCATCTTTATTATTCCAGCCATGGCTGCTCGTTCACACCAACCCAGTTCAATCTGGTCAAATCCATGGTGAGGGGGTCTGGACAGAGAAGCAAATACCATGGAGGTCTTGAGATACAGAAGCTCAACCACCATGTTCTAGCAAGTTCCCAGGTTAAATGTCAGAATAGGCTGCTTCTGACCTATGCCCTTCTCCAGGTGCCCACAACCATGGAGATGTTCTGCTGTTATGGCCCAGTGGTCCCCAATGGATATGGAGCCTGCTACAACCCCCAGCCTGAAGCTATCCTCTTCTGCATCTCCAGTTTTCACAGCTGCAAAGAGACCTCTTCTGCAGAGTTTGCAGAAGCTGTGGGAGCGAGCCTTGTTGACATGAGAGACCTCTGCACTGCCTGTGAGCCTGCTGAGGGCAAGCCACCAGCGACAAAGGAAAAAGCTAGAGTCCCAACCAGGCCAAGCAATCTTGACTCGCACCACTAGCCCTGGCTTCCTATGGGAGCCAGACCCATCTAAGCCCTGCTCCCATCTCCAACCCCAGCTTTTTGTTGTTCCCCTGTCCTTGGGAGCCCAACCCTCAGACTGTGTGAGAAGGCAGCACACGAAGCTGGCATGTTAGGACAAAGAGTCCCTTATCAGGGTGGCCTCTGGCCTTTACAACTAGAAATGAGACCAGCCTGGCTGGGACCTCCCGCTGAGGTCTTCAAAGACTTACCACTTATGCTTCTTTCCCAGCAACACCCAGTGGTACACAGGCTAGTCCTGCCCAATGGAAGGGCAAGTCATCTCATCCCATGTTATGGGCCCAAATAAGTCATGAAGACAGAGACCAGCTCTGAATCATTACCTGCCACTCTTCCTCCACACAGTCACATGCACACGCATAGCCAGGGTTCATCTAAAATGCAGGAGCTGACAGCCCCAATCACATTTCTTCTTTCATCTTCCACAGCAATTGTCTTCATTTGATTGGAGGGAGCTAGGTCTCTGGGCAAGACTGCAAAGACTGAAGGTTGGGCTGTGGGTGAAGGGCTGCATGGCAGATGAGCAGTGGCATTCCCTTTGGGGTGGCACTGTCCAACAGGCGTTGTTGGGGTGATTTTCTCTTAAACTATGTGCATTGATCTGGGAGAACCAAGCCTATACTCGCTGTTCTCTATCAGAAAAGGAATTCACTGTATTTACACGGATATATCAACCCATGCACTGTGAGGGTGTCAAGACCCAGGAGCGTCAGACCCTTGGCTGGAGGAAACACCTCCTCCCATAGGAAGGGACCGGAAGCTGGCCTTCCCCCTCCAGAAACAAAGGAGTGCATTCATCATTATGCAGAGGCAACACTGAGCCGTGGCCAGGGATGCTCTGTGGGGACCCTGGGAAAGGGGACTGTTCCACGTGTCCTTAAAGAGGTGGAAAATGAGACAGTTGTTTGAAGAGGCAAAGCATCGTAAGTATGGCCACCTTATCATACTGCTAAATTGCCAAATTATATTTGAAGTTGATGTTTGGGTTCTATTTTTATAATATAGTTCTAGATTTCTGGCAATCTGTACATTTTAATTTATAGTTCTGTGCTTCAAAGAAACTCATGTATGAATACAGAGCCGTGTATTGAAAATACTCTATTCAAGATATTTAAGGACTGTAAGTCAGTATTTAATAAAATGTGATGCCAAAAAAGATGATGCTGTCATTGTTCCTACTGACAGATGATATAAATTCTGTGATCCAAGTCAACAGTTCACTGGCCTGTATCTGGGCTCTGCCAGCAAGTGTCTAAGGGTGAGGCTGGAAAACCACACAAAGCCAATCTGGGCAGCATAATGAGACTCTACATCTAAAAATAAAATACAAATAAGTGATACTGGACCATGAAAGAAAAGGAAGGCGGGAACTAAGTCTCTGCTAGTATGTATGTCAGGACACATCATGACTAAGGAGAGGCAACAAGGCATTGATTCCATGTGGCATTTGTGAGTGCCTGACAAGAACTCAGTGCAGAGATGGGTGCTCCCTGCAAACCTGTCCAAACATGTCTGTTGGTGGCAAAAAGTGCAGCTAATAGCTCCAGGCTCAGAGACCAGATGCCTGGCTAACAAGCCCAATAGCCAGTACTCCAGTCTTGTTACTGGGTCTTATCACCTTGTTGATAGTCTTATCACCTTTCTAGACCATTGCGTCCTGGCTTGTGAGGTGGGAATATTGAGGTCAACCCTGCTTATTTCTGGGGTTTGGGACAGGATGACTTGAGATGGCCATTGTTTGAAAATGAGGGGAAAACTGTGAAAGCCTAGCATTCTTGTTACAGATCCACAGAGCTCACCCCTGTCCAGGCTGCAAGACCAGGACGGAGACTTCTCCAAATGGGAACCCCAGGGCTTTTCCAGAAGAACACTGGTGTGTTCCGGTTAGCAAGTTAGGATGTGAGAAAGCCACCTTTCAAGGAGATAATAGTTCAGAATATTCCAGGATGGACAAGAGGATGGGAGTAATGTGATTTGCTCTTATCTATCATACACATGGCAGATGGCTTCCAAACAACCAGATGTGAAAATACAGACAACACAGAGAACAGGAAGCAAAGACAATATTAAGCCTCCCTTCCTGCATTCTTTTTTTTTTTTTAAGATTTACTTATTATTTATACATTATTCTGCCTGCATGTACACCTACATGCCAGAAGAGGGCACAGGATGGTTATGAGCCACCATGTGGTTGCTGGGAATTGAACTCAGGACCTTTATGGTAGAACAGCCAGTGCCATTAACCTCTGAGCCATCTCTTCAGCCCTAAGCCTCCCTTCCTATTGGTGGATGTTGATATCCAGAGAAGAAGGCTGTTCCCATTCTCTTTTTTTCTTTATACATATTTCTTGGAGTTTCCTTTTCAAAAAGCCCTTTACATATGAAGGGTAAACACAGTGCTCTTACTGGGAAGAGCTGGCCTCACCTTAGGTGCAAGGACCTTTCTAAATGGACTCCCTCTTTGTTCCTCTTCTATGGTATGTCCCTTCCATCTTTTGAAGGGATTTCTGCTCTTGCCCCTGTCCCTTGTGTTGTGGTCCCAGAGTTCTGTCTACGTGCTCTATTTCTAATTAAGTAGTGATATGGCAAGCTGAGTTGAATCAAAACTATGAAAATATATGTTTAAAGAAAAAACATTTAAACTACATTTTGTTGACTATAAATGATTTTGGGGCTAATACTTGTTCAATATTGTCAGCTCTATAATTATTTTGGTAGTATTAGCTAACCTGCTATCAAAATTAGTAAGACACAGACACCTGTTAGACTTTGTAGCTGGGTTGGGCAGATATTTCTACCTACACTATATCAATAACCTCACCATCCACCTCCCACCCCCTCCAATGTCTTCCTCCTTAACCATTCTAATCTGGGCTACCTTCCAACCATAACCTTATAAAAACAGAGTCCTTCCTCCCAGCCCATGTGCTTCCTTTTCCATTCTACACATTGTGGCTTTTTCCCCTCTCCTCTCTTCCCATCTGTCTGTCTCCTTCCTGTGATTCTTCTGTCTGCAAAGCTGGGGAACTGTAGCCACACTTACCTCCTTTGCCCTGCCCAGGTACAGGCCTTTTAATTAACCAATTAGGAATAATGTCTTAGGCAGGTTTACACAACACAGATAGATGTATCTGGGCCTTAACCAGATCTTGAGGGCCAGTAATTAGCATCAAAATGCAAGCATCAGACCAACCCCAACAGCTATACATTGGCATTCAGAAGATAACAAAATATTCAGCACTTGGGAAGTAGTGGCAGGTGGATCTCTGTGAGTTTGAAGCTACCTGGTCTGCATAGCAAGTTCCAGGACAGCCAGGGCTATATAAAGAAAGCCTATCTCAAAAAGAAAATAGAAAGGGAAAGAGAACAAAAGAAGGAAAGAAAGAAAGAAAGAAAGAAAGAAAGAAAGAAAGAAAGAAAGAAAGAAAGAAAGAAAGA